TCGATAAAAATGCTGGAATAATATTCCTCTATCGTAGCTAGTCACAGTTGATCCACTCTTTGTACAATCTCAACACGATAAATTATCGAAGCAACTTTATTCTTTAACGATTATTAAATTCTCCCCAAATCTCTACGATTCTGGAGGGAATCGATTATCTCTAATAAGAAACTTCATCCTGCTCTTAACCCCTTGCAGGTTCGAAAAGGAGGAAAAAGGTGTACGAGTACTCGCGATAATTTTGCCAGTTTTCCACCAATTAAAATCAACAGATTCTCGTGAAATCATCTTAAAAACACACCTTAGAAACAGTAATGGGCAAAATTTGAATAAACTATATAATAATAATACAATTATACAATACCAAACGAGATTGTAACACGTAATATACGCTACGAATAAATTATTCCAGCATTTTAGTAATTTTTTAATTTTTAATTACTCTTTCAACAAATTAACCATCCGGTTAGAAACATCCAGGAGTACAGAAAAATATCCCCACGATTAAACCAAATTAAAATCACGCCAATTATGTGTAAAAGATCGAACCAGTTAATCAATTAAATTCAGTGGATTTTCATTGGAATAAACAAAATTTTTTTAATCTAAATGCTAATTCAACGATCCGATTCTTAACCATAGAGATGGATTTGAGAAAAATTCTGTTCACTTCTTTTAAATATTTATCTAGGTGGAGATGCTTTACCAACGATACTTCCTACGAATGAACCAAAGCAACATGACGCACGTTCTTGGCCTATTGGCGGGACTGGCTCTCGCTCTAGGCGTGCTGCTGCTCCTCAAACTGTTTCTGGATGGCAATCAACAATTCCTCGATACTTTGGAAAGACCGGAGAACTTATTTCTAGCGATAACGTTGGTCACCTGTGTCGCGATCTACGCCGGTAAGTATATAATCTCAGGACAAGATCTTACGAGACACAAGCGAGATAAAAGCCTGTATCTGTGCAGGAGTAGACAGAGCAAAGGGGTTCAACGATATTGGAAAGAAGTCTCGCTGATTTGATATTTAATCCTTTGCACTCGTATTTAAGAAGAATCCAATGGACTACTAGGAATTATTTTTCATATTCAAAATAAAAATATTTTTTATTTGGATATGTATTACAAATTAACTTGTTGTTCTGGTAGAAAATATTTGAAAAATACATAAATTTTATATTGCAATCAATTGGTCAATGAAAATCTATATAATGTGTGTGTATATATATTTTGATTTTTCGAAATTTTTTAAAAATAAATGAAACTAATTTTCAAATTGGAAGGAACACACAGGAATATTCCTCTCGAAAACACAATCTTGTGTTACAATAATCATAATATATATATATAAAAATAAAGAAAGACAAGCAAGAAAGTGAAAATGATACAAGCAATGTTGAAAAAAATTACATTTTATAATTTTGCATCATACGATATCGTTCAAAACAGTCGTAATCCAGAACAAAAGAGGAAAATTATTTATTATCTTTTATTTATTCATTTTACTTTATATACACACGCATTTAAACAAAAATTAAAAGAAAAGAATGTAATACTAAAAGGTAATACACAATCGCCATCCTTTTATCATTGTACACAAATATATAATGATAAAAGGATGGCGATTATACGATGACATACGAGTGCAAAGGTAAATCGAAGATATATAATAATAATTAATAATAATTACCTCGATAATTTCAAATCGTTCAAAACACAATAATCGAAATCGTACTATAATAAATATTACGAATAACTGTTACTCGAGTATTATTGAAATTTTTAATTACTTTTCCAACATTGACAGAGATATAACACTGGTCTCGACTCGTCCTTCGAAACCGCGTTCTCCAACCCCTTAATTCGCATTTTCACAGAAAACGATTGGATATAATAATTGGAATAATCAAGACCTGCTATACTGGTCAGATTAGTTAGAATAAAATAGAATTCGGATTGGTTAAGAGAATAATTAGAATCATTAAAATTTATTCCAAGTTCATAAACCAATTCTATGAGTAGATGTACTTCTTCGAGGAATATTATTAGATCTCACTCCTGTTTTGGGATTAAAATATTCAAAAGTCATTCAGTTTTCAATTGAAGTGTAGATAACGATGAATAAGCAAACGAAATCGACGAGAAGAGACGAGAAGATTCACTTTTGCTAATTAATAAACGATGAGAAATTCAACTTTTCACTCGAAAAATTCTTCTCCGTTGGAACGATCGAAATTTATCGATTATATTTCGCGGATAACCCAACCTAACCTAACCTATTACATTTCGAATAATACATCGAAACTTACAATTCTGAAAATTCTTCGCCCTGTGATCGCACGTTCGTCGATCGCTCGTTATCCTCCGCTAATTGATATCGCCAAATTTTTCGGATTATTTTTTTTTTACACACGAGACGAAAAAGATCCGATTTTAATTATCTTAGGGACGAGCGAATCGCTTTTTTTTTTACTTTCGTTTCGGTTTGACCCACTTCCGCCGTTAATTAAAATCTCGAATAAAAAAAAAAATTCTGCGTTCGATACGCGTACGATATCGCGAGAAAGGGGAGGGAGAGGGGGAAATATCGAAATGCCATCCCCTTATCGATAGTCGAGGCACGGTGATCAAAAGGTGTCAGGTCGACGCCTCGCTTTTTCGAACTGTGCTGATGCTCGATGATAATGTTTTTCTTTTTTTTTTTTTTTTTTT